AAGCTTTCAAACGCTTTTTGAAATATTCGAATCCGTCAATTAGGAGAGCTCTGGCGCATGTGTAAACATTGGTCGAATCTTTGTACTATAATTTTGTATTTTTGTAATATAATTAATTAATTTCTCATTTGCTTATATTATAAACAGTAAATAATATTTGAATTATACTTTAATCACAAAAGAAATGATGATTAAATTAATAATTAATTAATTAATTAATTACTAATTTTCGACATATTTTGAAAATAATTGTTGTTTAAACAATTTTAGAAAATTTAAATAAATTTGTTTTTGATCCTTGATAAACAGTATATAAGTGTATGCACTTACCTTTGATAAAATAAAAAAATAAAGTTGATAATTAAAGGAAGTTTAAAAATAAAGAATTATCGGACTGTTAAAAGACCAATAATTATTAATGCTAGGCATTTGAAAATACGCTCATTGTTTTTTTTAAATCGCAAGACATCGATTTAAAAAAAAATCATCAAAATCGGACCTTTAGAAGAATTTTTTAAGCGCGTCGCGGTTTTGAACTCGCTGATTGACTTTCGAGCAGGCCCACCACCACCCGTTCGATTTTCTTGAATTTCTCGCTTGCATAAATAACTTGAAATTTGTTTTAAAGTAGGTTGTCAATGAAGAGAAGTATTGCAAATTTAGACCTGGTAAGAACTCGGAATATCAAAGGTATTTTTCGAAAAATTTGCCCGGATGTCCCAGCACATTTATAGACCAGAAAAAATAATTTACGGGCGATCTGGGGTCGGGAAGGGGAAGGGGCTGAGTTTTTAAGGGTAAAAAACGGTTTCCCTTGATTTCCGGAAAAACTACAAGTCTTATGGAAAAGAGTTAAATGGCAAAGTTGTAGGTAATAAAAAGATCTACAACTTTTGTATTTACACTTTTTTCACATAACCTCAAAATTTATGTGAAAAATTCAAATAACCAAGTTTTTGGTTTTTTCTTTTTTTTACAAAAAAATTTTTTTTTTTTTCACGAAATTTGGTGAAAACTTACCTATTTATGTCCCAAACACGCTGTAATTTTTTTGATTTGAAATATTTATTTTTTCACCTTATTTTTACTTAATATCGAAAAAGCACCCTAATTTTCAATCGAAAATTCTCACGTCAAAATATCTGCTTTTTTAAAAACGTCGGTGGGCTTTTTCTTCGTTGAAATCTCTACTTTCTGATGGTGTAAAAAAAATATATACATTACTATGGTAAGTTTTCTGAGGAAATGCAAAGAAACGAAAAAAACTACCTTATTATTTTTCCTTTCATTTCTGTTATATTCTCTTCCTTTTCCAATGGGTCATCATCCTACTATAATTTTTTTTTCACTTTTTACCATTTTTGAAGGCTTAAGCACTGATCTATTAGTGTAAATGACGGTTAACTTTGATCGGCTATAACTACGTAACTAATTGACCAACCGATCTGTTTTTTTTTTTAAAAGAAGCGTCTTTCCAATAACTTTTAAAACCAGCTTTAAAAAATTTGAATTGATTGAATATTCACAAAGTTATTCTAATTGTTTATAAGTACAAAAATTCAACCAATGTTTAAACAAGCGCCAGAGCTCTCCTAATTAACGGATTCGAATGTATCAAAAAGCGTTTGAAAGCTTGAGAGCCCTTCTATATGTGATTAAATTTTCAAGTATCTAAGGGCCTTGGTTTTTGCTGTGCAAAATTTTGAAAATTTGCAATTTTTTTTCAAAACCTGGATTGCAAAATTATTATGCAAAATCTACCCGAACCGATTTCGATGAAATTTGGTGTGATGATTTTACATAACATGAACTTTTCTTGAACCAAGTATGAAGGTCCTATACCTAACTTAAAGACCTCAAAAAAAATCCCTAAAAAATAATGTTTTTTAATCTAATTTTTGGCGATTTTTTCGATTTTTACAACAATAATCATGATTCATTCGATTTGTAACTAGTCATATTTTGTAAAATTTAATTACAAACATTTTTTTACTTATTGTGAGTTTAACGAGACTATAGACTAGACTATATTTTGTCAGGAAGCAAATAAATCTTTTTATCTATTTATCTAATATGGACTGGTAGTTTAATCACCTCTAACGTGAAATTCGATCGTGCCTACGACATAACCTCAAATCCCGATAAAAAAACATACGAAATAAATACGTTTCAAAACGAAGCAGTACATTATTTATCTCTTTTAAAGTTCACGATATAAAATTTGACCTCAGCCCACTCGCCTGTATGTCTCGGCTCTCCGCAGTCTATTTATTACCCATAAATCGTCGGTACGCAGACTACCTCTGGTTATTATTTACCTTTCAAGTGCGTACCATGCAGACACGGCCAATAAAATTGACTGATCATTCGAGGACCCTCGACGGGCGCAGCTCATTAATAACGCCGTGCGCTCAAATTATCCCGTTCCACACGATCATCAGTCAACTTCAGAGGCGCGGGATGCCTTTTTGGCGTTCAACGGCGTTGCCTGCTCTCCGACGTCCACCCATTTGGTGAGCCGAGCTTCCCAATTGCCTTGGAAATACACGGAATTTAAACAATTGGAAAACACAATGGCAGAAATAACTACAACAATAAAATAATCCATGGCTGTAAATTGTCTTTATTCATTCAGAAATTCTAACCCACATAATGTGTTCTAACCTCACATTGTGAACAGTTTGAGAGGTTCCAATCGAGTTAATATCTCTGTCTTTGTCTAATTATTTTCTCTCTTCTGAGCATTCATTCATTCGTCATTTTTGTTTTAAGAAATAATTGACTTTTGTTTTTAAATACGTAAAAAGACCTCCTTACTTTTCAAAATATCGAAAACACAATGAAATTACAAAAGAAAACGAAAAGTCAATAAAAATGTATTTTTCTGGATCTGGCGATGACTTTCACCGACTTTTGTTTACACCACTCGAAAAAGCGGAAAAAATAAGTTGATTTAAAAAAAAAAGCATCCCGGTAGTTACTTTCTAAGTGCCACAATCCATTTGTTAAGTAAGAATTTTGAGAAGTCGAGCGCAGCATGGGCAATATGACGTCACAGTGCTCCCCTCTCCTGGATACCGCTCAGCTGCGCCAATCACGCTGTCTTTAACGAACGTTTACTTGGTCACATCTTGGTCTAATCCATTCAAAAAAAAAATCAGCGTATAAAGGAAGTTTTCTACGAGACCCAATTTATTACAAAATATTAAATAGAACAGCCAAAATACCGTTTGAAAAAAAATATATATCTCGGCTTCTATTGGTCGGATCGAGAAGCTTTTTTTTGCTTAATTCATGTTTTTTAAGCACTAATTTGATGCAATTGGTTTGAAATCTGTATATTAAAAAATTGCCGAGGTAAGGACCCCAGTTAGTTTTTTTTTGGTTTTTTAATAACTTTTTGATTTTGCAACATAAAAATCTGAAATTTACAAAGACGCGAGATGATTTGATTACCTTTCGATCCTTTCTTACCGAATTTCGATACCTTGATTTGGGCAGAAGATATATACGCTCGCGTTTTCGACTTTATAATTTTTCAATTTTAAAATTAAGGGTCCGGATTGCGGGTATTTGTTGAGCACACCAACAGTTACCTTTTCCTGTAGTTTCATCCAATTTCAGTTAAATTCGTTCTTTTTATATGCACATTTTTTTTTTTCACCGCTAATTTTGCAATGTAAAAAAAAAGCGAGCTTTCACAAATCCCTAACTTTGTAGCAAATTTCCTCAGGAACAAAATCGATAAGTACACCTCATGTCGATTAGAGGCTTATTTTCGGAGATATAAGCGAAAAACTGGAAAAAGAGCGTTTATTTTTTTCTTTTGTTATAAACAATATGACGCTCGACCTCCACAAATACACAAATTTAGCCTTTCATTATGTGTATTTTTTACTTAATTTTAAGCCCATAAAATTCGAGGTACGCCCGATTTTAAAAAAAAAAACCTAATTCGCCCGGACTATATAGCCTGAAAAATTAGTTTAATAGTTATCATAGTTTCAAAATTTGAATGATTTTTTATCAAAAATTGTACCTATTAAATGAAATTTATATTTATTTATATTTTTTCTTTTAGAAATGTTGTGAATATTTGACTTTTTCTTTTCTAAATTTCTTCGGCCATATTGGATCCGTCATTTTGAATTTTGAATTTTCTAATTTTGATTTCAGATTCAGCGACCCCGAAAACTTGAAGAATCAGTGAAAATTTAATTGTTTGTAATTTAATTTTCCTTTTTTTTGTCTTTTATCCCATGGACTTTTAAAGCAGTAGGTAGTACTTTCAGATGCCAAAACGAATTTTGCGGGGAAAACTACCCCGTGATGTAACATAACCTTAAATATAAAGAAATCCCGCGTTTTTCGCACTCTTAAGTTAGGATATCTGGAAAACTTTACTCTTCTTTCAGTTCTTTCTATTAAAATGGCAATGACGCTTCTTACCCGTCAATCCGACGACGGTTTTTTTGCGTTTGGTTTTCGAGAAGAGGCAATTAATGCGCCTTTCATAGGAAACATATTTCTGAAAATAAATGGAGCGTCGGCAGCGGCATGATTTCGTGGGGGTAATTAAGAACAGGGTTTCTATATTTAAGCGAGTTTGGCGCCGTTCTTACGGGTTCTAGGAACGTGTCATAATTTTTTGTCAGGAAATGTGTCGATACCGAACTATGAACTATTTTTAACCGCGCAAAGCGCTTTTATTCCTATAATTGGTTGGCAGTCTTTAGAGTTTGTTCGGTTTACGTGCAGATTTTCATATTCTGCAGTCTTTTGAAACCTAGAAAGGGAACCGATACAGATTATATTCCCATCCGCTAAATAACGTACTGCTAGCGCCATCTATGAGATTCTATAGAAAACTTCGAGTCCTCGTAGAATCCCAGTGGCGTCTCAACTAGGTACTTACATAGGATGGTTGTAATGTTACTGAATATATTCGTGGAGTAAAAGTTTTTTTTTAACTTAATTTGAAGGTTGTTTTTTTATTACAGGTTTAGGTTTGAGTCCAGAATACCTCAGCGCCAGAAGTCTCACAGAACTACACCCTTCATCCACCCTGGCCAGCACCGAATTTCCCTTCAGCATTGACGGTAAAAATTTTATACAGTCTCTCTATTTCTACTAAGCCGACTCATAATATGTAACTCACCTGTATTTATACAGTTTATACAGGGTGTTTTGGAAAAAAGTACTACAAATTCAGGGTATGATAGAAGATCTTAGGGGTCATATTCTTTTATTTTTGAGATATAGGGCGTCAAAGACAATTTTTGTAAATTTTAGCCACAATTTTCCAAAAACACAGCAAAATGGTTGAAATTTATTACTTCTTCATTATTTTTTTCTATTTCCTTGCAGGTTCGAGGCTGAACAGCCCGCGGCCGGGCAGCATCCGCGCGTCCCGCAAGAGGGCGCTCTCCTCGTCCCCCTACTCGGACTCCTTCGACATCAACTCCATGATCCGTTTCTCGCCCAACTCCCTGGCCTCCATCGTGAACGGCTCTCGCTCCTCCAGCGCCAGCGGTTCCTACGGCCACCTGTCGGCGGGGGCGCTCAGTCCGGCCCTGGGAGTCCACCCCGCCGTGCACCTGCAGCAGCTGCAGGCCCACTTCATGCGCACCTCTGGCACGCTGCTGCCGCTGCCGCCGCCGGCCGCGCCGCCGCCTCATCCTATGTACTCGTTGGGACACCACCCGCTGCACGTGTCCCACAGCGCATCCAAGACTGATGTAAGTAGACGGGTCCGGTTGTACAGGGTGTTTTGGAAACTGATCCAACATTGTAATTAAACCAAACAATAATGCTTGGTTCTGAATGCAGTGATAGGAAAACCGTTTTATTCCTTGTAGATTATAAGCGAACGGAAAAAGTCTGAGTCTAGTACAATAACGCAGCTGGACGCCGATTCGGCGGCGGTTCGCAAGTCCAAGATCAAGAAGGAGCCATCGCTGAACTCCTGCGGGCCTAATGAAGCTGCGAACGACCCCACAGACCTCAAAGACGAGCCAGGAGACTTCATCGAGACCAATTGCCACTGGAAGGACTGCTCTACAGAATTTGGCACCCAAGAGGAACTAGTTAAGGTTTGCAACGAGTATTTCTTTCTTTTCTTAAGGATATCCATACACTGAGATTTTTTACCTCAGGAATGGAACGGAATACAATCAGAAGTATTCTTAATTTCAGCTAAACTTGATTTCTTAACATTTTAATTGTGTGACACATAGTTTACTTCAGAATTAAATTTTTTATTCAAATTTTCTTAACTCAAATTGTAGTAGTATCCTGAAACATTCCTTTGGATCTTTTTGGATTGGATTCTTTTAATTTTGCAGCACATCAACAACGACCACATCCACGCGAACAAGAAATCGTTTGTGTGCCGATGGGAGGGTTGTTCCAGGGCAGAGAAACCGTTCAAAGCCCAGTACATGTTGGTAGTTCACATGAGGAGGCACACCGGTGAAAAACCACACAAATGTACTGTGAGTATCATCACATTCTCTCTTTGTCTTTATAAATCGACAATTCCTTTATTTTCCTCAGTTCGAAGGCTGCTCCAAAGCTTACTCTAGACTAGAAAATCTAAAGACTCACCTTCGATCCCACACGGGAGAGAAACCCTATACTTGTGAATATCCCGGCTGTTCCAAGGCGTTTAGTAACGCTTCCGACCGTGCTAAGCATCAGAACCGAACACACAGCAATGAGGTAAAAAAGAAGTGTTTCTATTTCTTTCTTTCTTAAAACTTAAATCAATTACTGTCCCCTTTGCTCTCAGAAACGGAAAAGTAGTAAGTAATAAAGTCCATGTTGTCAGTTGTATGTAGAAGAATTTTTCCATTTCTTCATTCCTAAGTATTTAAAATTTCACTCTTATTCTAGAAACCATATGTGTGTAAGGCTCCCGGCTGTACAAAGAGATACACGGACCCCAGCTCCCTCAGAAAACACGTCAAAACAGTCCACGGAGCTGAATTCTACGCCAGCAAGAAGCACAAAGGCTCCGAACCCAGTTCCGAGGATGGTCCTGCTGGCCTGGATTCCAGTCCTCGTAGCGAAGACTTACAAAGCCACAAAACAGCTAGCCTCAGCAGTCCTAGCATCAAATCGGAGTCCGACGTTAACTCTCCTGGACACCAACAACAAGGTAGCCCACTGGGCGCCACTCAGTTAGTTGGAGGGTTCAACGATGACTTCTCAGCAGACTTAACGGGCAATATACCAAGAAACGAACCCTCAGACGACCCATCCTGGGCTTACGATGCAGAAGATCTGGAAATAGATGATCTGCCCATCGTTTTGAGAGCTATGGTCGGAATCGGAAGCGAACGAGGCAGCGTGGCGCTAGCAGACAGAACGTCCAGGTTGCGGATGAAACACTTGGGAAAACCCAAGCCATCTAGCATCCCCACTTTAAATACACAAAGGAAAAACATAGCTGACTTGAATAGGCGTATCACGGATCTCAAAATGGAGAGCGGGTTGCCTCAAACACAGGCGAAGACGCAGCTTACGGAGTTACAACAAAGACTCCAGCCTCCAGGCGGCACCCAAGCACAGATAAGGAGAGATAGTAATTCCACCGTGAGTTCTTACTACGGTAGTATGAGGAGTGCCGATATGAGTCGGAAGAGTAGTCTTGCGTCGCAAGGGTCGAGTATGAGACCAGGAATGGCACCCGGATCCTTTTATGATCCCATCTCGGCAGGTAGCTCCAGGAGATCAAGTCAATTGTCCACTGCCACGACTGGCGGTACTTGCATCCCTCCTCCTCCACCTTCTCACCTGCTCGCCGGGCAGCTGCAGAGGCTGCAGAATTCTCCGAACCCAGCCAACAACAGCAACCTTGTTCTCCAGGTGAGTTTTCTCTCAGTATGTACTTATTGAGTAATTAGTTTAAGAATTGAAGCTTATAACTCTTGTCATAGCATGTGGGTTATAAATATACCACAAGGTTGGAAGTTTGCTATACTTATTGTCATCATATTAACTGATGTGAAGGATTTGCTTTGTTTCCCACAATACCGTTAGTTATGTATCCATTTCTGTTGAGACAAATGTATCACGGGTGGAATGTTAGGCAAATTTTATAGTGCAGTATGACAAGAGTTAATTAAGATATGTACAGATCGTTTACTAATTTTTCAAATTTACTTTCAGCCCCAAAACATATCACTACAGCAAACCGCCATTCAGCAGACCTGGTTATCGGGTAACCTCCCCAACATTCCAGCCTCCACCACAACCAGCACAGACACCAGACGAATGTCGGAGCCCTGCCACACCATGACAGACAGAAAAAGCCCCCCTCCAAGACCGGCTTCCGTCACATTATCACCTCTAAAAGGCACTGCGAGTTTGTCGGACCTCCATCCCAATCAAGCAGTGGTTCTAGACGAAGTCGGTGAAGGAGAAATGGTAGAGAATAAACTAGTGATCCCCGACGAGATGGTTCGGTACCTGAATCAAGTAGCAGACAATCAAACGGGAGACGTCACCGCCATGAGTTGGTCGGAAACACCGGGAAATGTCCAGAAGCCCTTATCAAGCCCCTCGCAAATGCTACAATCCCCGCCTAATTTCCCCATTTTGCCTTCGCCGCAAAACACTAACATGATGTCGCCGTCGTCGGCCATAAATCAACTGCTACCCTCGCCGAATAATATTAATCAGATGATGCCTTCACCATCGGCTAATTTGAATCAAATAATGCCTTCACCGGCACCTACCATGAATCACATGATGCCGTCGCCGGCCAGTAATCAAATGATGTCTCCTTCATCAAATATTAATCAAGTAATGCCATCACCAAGTTCAAACTACCAAGTGATGTCTTCACCATCTTCAAACTACGGGGGCATGCAGAATCCTATGCTCTCCCCAGCGCAGAATATGAATCAAATGGTACCTTCGCCGATGCCAGGGCGTTGCCACTCGCAAATGATGTCGCCCAGTGCAAACCCCCAAGTGCCTCAGAACTGTATAATGACTCCAAACGGACAGATTATGGTGCAGAACAGTCAAATGATGATGGCAAATGGTCAGATGATGTCGGGGAACTGCTACAACAGACAGACGAGTCACAACAGTTGTTATAATAATTGGGACAACAGCGCTATGTGTCAGAACATGAACGTGGTCCAGAACGAGCATCACGGTATGTGCGGCAGGACTCAGAACGACTACAACAATCAGTGTCGTCCGCAGATGAATGTCAATAACAGTTATTTGAACGGAACGCCTATGGTTCCAAATCAGTGCACCAACCACAACTACCAGATGTGCGCACCAAACTACGTAAATAACTGCCAGAATAAGATGGCGAACAACTACAACTGCAACACGTACCAACCGGGGTACAACTGCGTTCCCAACATGGGGGAACCGCTTCCGTCTCCTGCCATGGCGACACCGGCACCATCGGAAGTTATGAGCCAGCCTCAACAGGCGCAATTGAGCAGGCCGTGCACCCACTACACCCAAAACTGCTACCCCACGCCGCCTTACACGAACCAGTGCGTTCCTAATTCGGGAGGGTGCAGCAACTGTGGCAACTGCAGGAAAACGGGGTTTAACAAAGGTTACAATCAGTGCGGTAACAACGAGATACAGTGCAAAGACATAAGCCAGTCGCAAATGTCACCCGGGATTACGAACACGACGGGACAGGGTAGTAACGTAAACGGTACGTCAATGCTCGGCATGCGACAGGACGCTTACCAGAGGACTTTAGAGTATGTGCAGAACTGTCAGTCATGGGTGACTAATTCGGATATGGTCAGTAGCAGCACGCATCCTTTGTCGAAGTGCGGGGAAAAGGGTAGGTCGAACATGGTGGTAAACGACATGACGTCGTCGCTCAGTTCTCTCCTGGAAGAGAACCGCTACTTGCAGATGATCCAGTAGTTTAGAGACGATGATGGCGAGGTACAATTACTGATTACTTTAAGATCCCTGTATAAAATGTATATTGTGATATTAATAATATAATTTGATTATGTTATTTTTGCAATAATTCAGTTTAAAGGCTTTAACTCCTGTGTATAAGAATTTCTAATGTAAAAATTATAAATAATTATATATTATGTGGATTCGAGTAACAATTATGTTTATTTATGTTAAATTGTAACGGGGTCGGACAATGATCTCAGTGCTAATTATAAGGCCATTTACTGCCATGTTGTATAAGTATATATCGGACAAACGTAAGTAAGTTTTGTATATATTGATAGTTTTATGTTAAATTTTGTATTTGCAAATGGAAAAATTTAATAAATGATATGCTTAACTTGTTTAGTTTTGTTTATATTGTATGTAGCGTTGCTTGTAAAATGCTCAAGAATGTTTAATATCACTTGCTCCAACTGCTTTCCAAAAGAAACATATACACATTGTGTGTGTTGCATCATATTTCAACGTTTTCAAAATAATTGAAAAACTTTTTAATTTTTTCTTAATTTTGAATTGTCAATCAATGCACTGCACAACAAGCACTCCATAATTTAAACAATTCACAAAAAAATACAGGTTTGTGATGTATAGGTATAGGTATAAGTCTGGATCTCGTGCACTGATTTCAAAGAATTTCTTTCTCCGCGTAAATTCAAATAAATTTGGATATTAGGTATAACAATTATTTTCAAAACTTATTTTTATAAAATATTAATTAATTTACAACTTATTTTATAAGTCTTTTCGAAGTCAGTTGAACATGTAAAAAAACGACTGGCAATAAAATTTAAAAAATTATAGTAATTTGTATACATATGTGCAGAAAATTACTATTATATGTTCATTTGGCCAACAACATATTTTAATTATTTATGTCCTCAAACAACTTTATTATATTGTTGGTAAATTTCGTTTTGTTCCATTTCAAAAGGTCTCCAAAATGCATTTTGTAATAATATTATTTCTCCCTTTTGCAATTATAATATCAATGATTGAAGGTGCCTATAATAAATTAAAAATTACCTGAATCACACCAAATTCCACATTGCTGCACTGCACTGCTGGACAATTTGTCGACTACTTGTCAACGGCTGAGATTTATTGCCCAGTGGCCCAATGCAACTGTATTTGTATTTCAACTGGTCACAGTTTCTTTGACAAATTACTTAAGCATTCTACGCATAATATAATAAAAAGAAAATTGAATGTATCACAAAAGTTAGTCGGACTCGTTATAAAGAAGGCACTTGTATATAATAATAATAATAATAATAATAATAATAATAATAATAATAATAATAAATAAGTTTATTTTACAACGTTTCTATAATAAAGTGGGTAATAAATTTTATAATGCACAAAATATATATTACAGACAAGCTGAAAACGGAGAAATATGCACCTGCACATAAATCAGTATAAAACAAGGAAACACACAATACTAAAATAAACAGCAGATGAGTTCAATACTGGGGACTATTAGGTTAATTAGGTCTTCTTATTAACAAATGGTGCAATTAAAGCATAGTCTAACCTTGGATTTAAGACGAATTTATTAAATATTTAAAGGAGATTGCCGTGATGATTATTTATTACTGGCAATGGTGCAGAGGCTGACAGAGACAAAAATGGCAGTATGTATTTTTAAAATAATAATTCAATGCTAGTCAGAGCTTTAGTCCACAAAGTAGTTGCTTTGCGCAACATCGGTTTAAAAAGTGTTTGTCAAGTAGAGGGAAAAGGTCTTGCTTTCATTGTACCTGCGAAATAGCAGGTTGTTCTCTGCCAGTTTGGCATTATTACGTCTAACCTACAAACCTTCGGAAGTGTTAATCAAAGGCAGAATTTTCTCAAATATTATGTATATTGGATAGATTTTACAAAATACAATTCTAAACCGCACAATATTAAAAAATGAAAAAAATATATAATAGCTAATATTTATATACTGTAGATACACAAATATAAAAAATACTATGTGGCAAAACTTCAATTTCCTTCATAGATTATTAACAAATTTAGTGCATCATTTGACAGCACTACGATATACTCAGTGTATATTGTACACGTTAGATAAAAGAAAAGATAAAAAGTCATAAAAAATTAAATCACAATGAATTAATTAATGTAAAACAAAAATTGATGATATAAAATGATGTTGAAATTTTATGACGAAACAGGTAGCACAAATAATGAGGGCAAATTACATAAATGTTAGCCTGTCAAATGTCACACGCACCGATACCGGACCGGACTTAACCTAAAAATGACTATCGACTATCATCACACGTCTTCACCAACTTTAAAGCTGTAGTAAAAGACTGAATATGTGCACTATACTAAATCTAATTAAGGTTTTATGCCTCTACTACTACATATCGACTATTTATACTGGATAAATAATAGCACTTTTGGCTTGAAAATCGCTTAAAGTTTCATTTGCACCACATTTTTGCAGATAGCATGGATCAAATTTGTCTGGAAGCGACCATTTGAACGTGCCAAAACGTTAAGAGTGCTGGCAATCACAACGATGAAAGACAATGGCAAGTTTGTAGACACCACAAAAATATTGCGTATTATAGATATTATATAGATTAAGCTATTTATTTATTTTTCCTTATGTATTCGTTCCAAATTACTTCGTATATACTTTTTTTATAGAAAAATAGCAGTTCTTTCTCAAATAAAAATCAAAAAGACGGAATGACTGGCAGTTAGTTAATTTCAATTTTTAGTTTTAAACGTTTTTACCCTAAACCTACAAAAAATCAGTACTTTTCTTATATATCATTAAAAAAATTACTTCAGTAAGGGAATAGTTCGAAAATTGTAATAAGTGGTATAAAGTTTGGAATAGTGGGAATATTACTGGCAAAATATATACAGAGCGTTTAAAAATTGGTTTATGCCAAAAATGTTTGTATTTCATTCAAAATTTGACAGCAATTTTAAATTCTCATTACTTAAGTCATGGATAAACTATGAAATAGAGAACATAAAAAAATCAGAATACCTATAAATAATAGGTAAACAAAATTCAGCCACTGTTTTCTTGAAAAATCTTAAGAAATAAACAAAAAAGTATACCTAAATATTTACGAAGGAATAGTGACGTAGATCAGAAGATAAATTGTTCTGTTTTGGTCTATCTAGATATCATTGAAAATGATCGAAATTCAATAGCTACATTTGCAACACACCCTTTCAAAAATATTGTTTATTGACCGATTTAATTCGGTGTTTTTTTTAAGCTTTTAAAAATCCTGTTACAACGTAAATGATATGAATTCATTTTCAGTTATCAAATCTACTTTTTAATTTTTTAAGGTCAAATTTAACAAAAACTGGTCAGTGAGTTTTTTTTTAATCTGACTATACAACGTTAATACCCTTAACGGGATAAACAACCTGTGAAATCACAAACAAATCGAATAGACAAATAAAATACTAGCTAATGTATTTTTCGTAAATGTGCAGCTTTAAAAAAATCTATTTATCATTCAATTTTTGTGTGTGCTTTTTTATGGTTTTTTGTTATTTGTAATTATAATTTTACATAAATTACACACTGAAAAAAAATGATAGCCTGGCTATTTATGCGACGGTCCCTAGTTTTCCAGAAAATTGATGATATAGTTTCTTGCATACCTTGTATATCCGTGACGTTAGTTGTTTGAAGCAAGCCAGAGTAGCTCAGCAGCAAGGATATTTTTTTTTTCAGACTGTCAATAAATAGTATAGTTTGCGCAAAATCGTCACTTTTATATATAAAATTAATGCATAAATGACTATTTTTTCAATAATCTTGCACAACCTGTACTATTTATCGATCTCCTAAACTTTTTGTTGATACCCTGTACGGTAAATGTGGTAACCGTGAACCTTTATCGCTGCGCTACTCTCGCTTAGTTAAAATATAACTACTGTCACGGGTATATCTTTGATTTTCTCGAAAACTAGAGGCCGTCGGACAAAATCTGTAAGGGACAGGTTTGGTGGTCCCCTTATTAACTACATCGGTCAATGAAAAATTCTAGGAATAAATCATTAATAAGAAAATGTTGACAACTTTTATCAAATACGAGAGGTGAACTACTGGGGAAATAGGAGCAAACTTCAAAAGGAGCATGTAGGACAAGGAATATACAACTATGTACGAGAATACAGAGGAATAAAAGGATATAGGAAGGCATACGAGAAAAAACAAGCAAAAGGGACTAGGTGAGGATTTTTTTGAGTAAGTAATCACCCCTCAATCGAATATAAAGCACCGTAGACAATAACAATTTTTTTTTAACTGACTTTCCAATCACCAGATCACCAAAAACGAAAATTACAGCTTCTGACCTTGAAACGGAATTACAACAAATTAATAAACCTAACATTAGAACAGAAATAACCTAAATTAAATGCACGAAATCAATCCTGGTACGAATAATTATTGAACGCTCTCGGCTTAAACTGTATAAGCCTGGTGAGCATGCTCATGACGCAAGGGATCTGCTTCTGGCGGTGCATGGTAACGGAATCGGGCACGTTGCTCTCGAAATCGATAGCGACGCGTTGTGACACGAAGGTTAGGATCGTCATGAGATCGTGATCGTGGGCCCTCCTCTTGAGCTCGTCGACCAAGGACTGGATGAACCAGGAACCTTTGGTAGTATTACGCCATGAGTAATAACCTAGTCGTAAAAGGAAATAAGAACGAAAAGAAGCTCGCTAAGATGTCTAAAGCAAATTAAAAGTAAATAAGTCTATGGGATCTAAAGTACGATGAAGCTGAAAGAGTTCGTGTAAGAATGGGTCTATTTTTAAGAAAAAGTTTCAAGCTTTGTTCTACTCAATTTTAAATCGCATAGACTTATGCAACAATTCACAAATATTAAAAAAGAATCATCGAAATGACAATTAGTTACTTTTTCTCTGTAGTGACAAATTTAAAAAATTTATTTCAAACCACCAACGATGGAAATTTAGTGAAACAAATGTTAAATTTTAGTAAACACACAATTTAAGTGACGACATATCACCGATATTAAATAAAAAAAAAATGTGTTAAAATAATTATAAAGCAGTGAAAAATACCACTAACCTCGAACCGTAGAATAAACTATTAAAAAATCGGCCTGCACTGGAATCCTGTAGGTGTTATGGATCTCTCCATCGGTCTCCGTCGTTCTCAAATTTATGCCACCATCCAGTTTGTCGCCCTGGCATGCTTGAAGAAAGAACATTTTCGGTTTTCCTAAAATTATAAAAAAAACAGTAGGGATATCTCAAATTCCGTAGTTTTGATTGTATTTTCTTGTAATTATTAATTACACCAAATGCTTTAGCTGCTTACCAATTGTCTAGGAAATGCTCCGGAAGTTCTTTTCGTCCCACTCTTTAATTATTCGAAATAGAAACAATTGGAAGACCTCAGAGAGGAACACAAACATATAAATATTTTTCAAATACTTGTTTTTATTATTGCCTAGAGACACAGCTAAATATAAACTTCACTTATTAACCTGCAATCTGGCACTAAGGCAGAAATAATTATTGAAGTAATCCATGAACGTAAACAATGTTCTTTATTAAACATATTCACAAATCCTAACCTCACATTTTGCGGCTACAATTAGATATTATAACGCTCTTTTGTAAAACGTAGTGTGTCTGAGACAACGGAAAACAGATCAGTACACTTTTTTCTCAATTGGAAAGCAGCTTTTAACAACCACAACAGTCAAATTATGGTGTCCTAAATCATAACACTCGTAACACAATGTGCGATGTGATCTAACTGGTTATGGCCAAACAGTTGAATATATTGACACTACTTATTAGTAGTCTACCAGAGCACACTAGTTTGACAGTTGCTAAAGTCCCGAAATTGATAAAGTACCACAATCAACTGCTATTTTGGGGCAAAATCCTTATTGTCAAACTTGAAATATACATATAGTGCCTTTTTGAGACAAACAAGAAGAACGATTACCATAAATATTTGTTGAACTAAAAATTCGTGAATTTGGACAAATTTAAATTGAATACTAAAATTTGCAAATAAGTTAAATAATTGAGAATTGAAAATTTAAATGTTGCAATTGATTTATCTATACCTGTAATCGGTGACACATAAACAGTAGATGCCTAATCAATAGTAGGTGACATCTAAGCTTTCACATTTATCTGCTATTACTCATCCAACTCTGCACTCAAGTACTTACCTGCAAGCGTTGGACATTTATCTGCCGTGAAAGCGGTCCATAAATAATCAGGTTTGTAGGGGGTATCCTTAGCGTAGATGATTCCCATTTCTCCATGGGAGAGCACTGCTATTAAAATGCAATCGTGATGACTGTGATCCATCTGGGCAGCTAAAGAATATAAACCACCAAATTACAATTTGACACCAACAGTAAATTTAAATATAGTATTAACATATGCATATTTTCTCAATTGGCCTTGATGTAACAGATAACAAATGCGTTGTGAGTCATTTATCTTTCGATAAAATGAAAACAATATAATCAGTAATCAGATAATTTAATATTAATGTTAGGGAAAATTTATACTCTTACTGTTGCCATTCCCGTTACTTAGGAAATGCAATATCAATAAACGTTCCTCTCTCAACTACATTCAATAAAAGGAGTGTTGATACATTTCCAAATTAACGAGAACTTTTAGAAATAAATATTTTAAAATGTTTAAATTTGCAAAAATAAATAATATTACATGTTTAATATTTCAATTTCTTACCATTTCTTACATGATACTCGATATCAGTATAGTTTAAATCTTTGAAGACTTGTACGTCGAACCCCAAGTTGACAAGGCAATCCTTAAGATTTTTGCAATCTTCGTTTGTACCGGATCTAGATTTAAGCCCTCCACAAAGGAAAACTTCATGGTTAAAAATATAAGCGATACCCCTCTTTCTATGGTCCATTTTGTAATGGGTCGCATATTTTGGAACTGGCATACGAGCAGTGGGCTCTGATGATCTAGCACTGAAAAAAACAAAAAACAAATTTATAAGCTAAAAGTGAAAAACAATACTTGTAGTTTGTAATATAGCAGATACATACCCTAATCTTCCCAAAGCATCACTTTCATCGGAATCTTTTCTTCCGTTTCCCAAACAATTTCCATCGCCAGCGTCGTGAAATACTTCTTCAACGTGACTATGGTTATTGTCACTGCCATTTTCTACCTCGTCTGTGCTTGGATTTGTTTCCATTTTTATTGCAACTTATGAAACCTACTAATTGAAACACGGGGTTTTTGAACTTTTAAAAACGTCAAGTTACCTTGAAATGATGCTCGACAGACAAAGCAAACCTTTTGTTCGAATTTGTTTGTATAGTACACCAATCCCCCTGCCATCTATCTCATGTTATCTATAAACTTAAAGTGGGAGGGTTATGCTTTTGCTCTATCTCTTTCTTACACAGGATCACAGACAAGAAGATATTTGTTTCCTCTGGCCTTGTATATCGTCCATGCTCATCTTGTTATAGAAAGAAATGTTTAAAACGAAAAGTGCAGATTGCATTGCAGATTGTTTCATAGAAATATAATCTTACTAATGATTTTTAATTATTATGCATCGATGTAGATATAGACGCAAACCTAGAAAATAATTTATAGATCTAGGCATTTAGATAGGTAACACTATTCCAATAAATTTTGCATATTTTAGAAAAAACTAATGTTATGCATGGGATATTTTGGATTTTAAAGAAATGGAAATATCTAATTTCTGGCAAATGTTTTAAAATGCAATCGGGGCCTACTTGTAAAATTTAGCAATATTAAAAATAAATCTTATTTACAATCTTAGAAATGATGGTAGAATTTTTTTATGTTTACCTGTATTTGGAAATGTAAACTGCAAGATTAAGTCATTTATTCATCTTTGACGCAATTTTCTGTTCCAGAAACACATACCTTACAGTTTTCAACAGTATTTATTCCGCAGATCTCTCATTGAAATTGAATGTCATTGAATCATAAGTATTTAATCTATGCAGTGAATTGTAGCATGTGAATTATACAATTATACATTTTAATGAAAGAGTGAACTAGTACCCGCAAAGGAACTGGAAGTGTTATATGTAATACTATGGAAACGCCAAAAGCCCAAATTTAAGTGGTATGGATTTTAATTGGCCTCGGTAGTTCCAAAATACCGGAAAGTAGAGGGGGTTTTTCCGTTTGTCGAAGCTGTCAAAACCTGGGAAGCTCCCTCTTCCATCTCATTTATTTTCCCGCGTTTGTAAGGAAAACGTGCCAACGGCTTCACGCCAATCAGTATTGTGTAATATTTCGATTAAAGTAAATTAACGATGTCTGGACGTGGAAAAGGTGGAAAGGGCAAAGCGAAAGCAAAATCGCGCTCCAACAGAGCTGGCCTGCAGTTCCCTGTTGGCAGAATCCATCGCCTATTAAGAAAGGGCAACTATGCCGAACGCGTCGGTGCTGGGGCCCCCGTATACCTGGCCGCCGTCATGGAATACCTCGCCGCCGAAGTGCTGGAGCTGGCGGGCAACGCCGCTAGAGACAATAAGAAAACCAGAATCATCCCCCGTCATCTGCAATTGGCCATAAGAAACGACGAGGAACTGAACAAGTTGCTGTCTGGGGTCACCATAGCCCAGGGAGGTGTCTTACCCAACATCCAGGCAGTACTTTTACCCAAGAAGACGGGAACTTCAAGTTCAGCAGGAAAAGGGGGCAAGTCCCAATCACAAGACTATTAATTAGGTAGTATTATAAGTGTCCCATGCTTTTGATTCCAGTTTGTTTAATTAGATGTAGTTCGTTCTGTTTGTTCTGTATTACTCTGTAGTTTTGACATTATTATTATTAAACTGAACTGTATTTTATACATGCTTCATTTTTATTTACCTAAAAATCAACCCATGTGTCAATGCAAGTAATTTATTTAATATTACATTAACAATTATACTGTTTAAAATGATATACCACAAGAAAATATCGAGTCATTTTTTCAAAAATGTAAAAACAAAATACCTGCGAGTAAGAATTTTTTCAGTCACGTCTACAAAATATACTATAAAGTTATACCTAGCTAGGTTTTAAAGAGACCTATTTTTACCGTTTTTTAATTTTTTTTATAATAAAATATCTCAGTGGAATATTGCTGTGATTAAATTGCTTAAATGCTGCTCTACTTTATTCGTATAAACTTTTCAGTATTTCCAAAAGACCATTGTAATGATAATCTAATTTCAATCATCCTATTTGTTGTGTTTAAAACTTGACACCAAGTGGGAATATTTTTATACGATATTAGAAAAGAAAAGAAAAATGTATATTTTTTTGCTCGTCTGAATACCGAATAAGTATACAGTTTAATTTCGAAGAAATGGCTTTATTTTAATTAACCAAAATAAAAACACTTACAGGGTTTATAGTTCAAAAGTAATATAGAATTCCGACTTTTCCAGGTTCTCCTGACTTATAAAAAAAAAAATCCAGGTCAATTGTAGTTCATTTAATTATAGTTTTTATGCATTAAGCATTAGACTTTTTCTAGACTGGACTCCATAATCTCTTTAATACCCAAAAAAAGAGTTTCAAAAGCACAAATAGTTTTCTCTTTCAAGAACCCGGGGCCTGCTTTCACAAAATTTCCCATAGCAAACATCAAATTCCCCAACTTTCATGAATACTTTTCTGATATTCCTTGTTTTCTATGAAGAATAATAAGTTTCCTGACTTTTCCAGGTTGCTGCAAACCTTGTTTCATTATTAAATATTTCTGTGGGAGACATTCACAAAAAATTTAGGCCACGATTAGTGGTAATTGATATAGAGCTTATATCTTCGGGAACTGGAAATATAAATATACCTGGAAATTTTCAAATATCGGGGTATTTTTTGATTAAAATTTAGTGTACACCCTGTAATGTATGTTACTGGGTAAAACCAGTAAGTACTACAGATCTTACAAATGGCTGTAGTGTTTTCCAAAAGCTTGCAAGTGTTAAATATTATGTATTAAAAGAAAATTTATTAGTGGTTTTCAGAAAATTTGAACTGATGGATCAAACGGATTTAAAAAAAAAACAGAAATTGGCAACTGTGCAACTCAAACAATAGAAGTTTACATGTAAAATTAACATTATTTAAAAAAAATGTTATTTGCAATATTTTTATAAACATGTTTTAAAATAAACGGGCTTATTTTTTGTATCATTCATCATACTTATCAAATTATTAGTTTCTTAAGTCCTAGTATTGATTTTTCAGAAAAAACTATTTACCAATTTTATGTCAATATTTTCTTATATTTATCTTTTTTTTTCGGAAATGTAAATCAATCCTGCATCTCTAAGTTACCATTGGGCTAATTTATTTATTGTTACACCTTTAGTAGTAACTAAATTTGTTTAATAATTATTTCACTACAACCAAAATAAGCTATTTATCATAAAATTTGCGGGAAAGCATTTTTCTCAACTGTAAGGAGTAGGGAAACAATTGTCACTATTGAAGTAATTTTAAAAAATATATTTCACTATAGCCTTGAGGCTGGCATTTTATAGAAATCGTACTTTTAGTAAGACAATGATAAATAAAAAGAAAAATCCATTTAAAGTATAAAAATGTTGAAATACAAGGATTCCTTTAATTTTTTGCAGTGAAATATCACGGAAAACATGGGCACTAATATAAATATTGGAATGTACCTTTTCTGTTTCGTCGAGAATTTTGCAAAAAATACTCAATTATTATGATTAATTCATGTTTTAAGAGTTTGATGAAAGCATTCTGCGGGGTGTGATTATGTTTATAGTACCATATGCGGTTCTGTGAATATTTAACAAGCATTGAAAGTTTAGGAAATATAACGATAAATATAAGAAGTAAAAATATGCTTTTTTTCCATACTCTGAATCTATTGTCGGCTTGTGAACTATCTGGAGAAAACTTTCATAAATGGTATAGTGAAGAGAAATCGTTTCTAACTTGCTTAGATTTTCCAAAGCACTCGACAAAAGGCTGCTAGACTTCGATCTTCTCGGAGCTTCAACTATAGAGAGGAAAACAAGGAGAAAGGATACTTGTTTTTTGTATTAATATATAAAAAAAAGCCATACGATGTTACAATAGTTTATTATTACCTTTTACATTTTTACCATTCTTATTTAAAAAATTAAAAAACCGAAATGAGACTGAGATGCCAATAAAAAAAAATAGAAGTTCAACAACTTTCTAGAACCATAATCAAAATCCTAGAAGAGATAATTTCAGTAAATATACATAAATACAATCATAACATTTCTAATTATCGGAAATAAAATCCTATACGTTAACCGCTAAATATTCACACACGCGTCGCGCTATATGAACAGTTCATTTCTAGATATACTCTAAATATTGGGAGGATGAAGTTGCCGAGATGACGATAGACTATTGTTTCAAGGTGTGGGGACTGGCGGGGGATCGTATCCATCGGGCATCAGATGCCGTCCACGGGATCCGCCTCGTCCGCCGAACTGATGTCGTCGCCAAACTCGATATCCTCGTCAAAACCTTCCTCCACGAATGTCACGGTATCGTTGATCCTGACAGATTCTGGGAACTCGCCATAGGTCTTGAGGTTGCGAGCCTCGTCTGATGTGTACTTTAATATCACGTCGGCTTTGGCGTCCTGGTAATCCCTGAGACCTATCAGGATGATGTCTCCCTGGTTGATCCAGACCTGCGGTGCGACAAATACAACTCGTACAGTGCAGAGATAAATCTTTGTGATTTGCTAGTGTCTGGTTTTATTAAGGGGTAAAGCCACTCTAAAATTTTGAAAAAGTCAGCTTTTAGATTTAAACAATACTCTATTACGTGAAGAATATAGGGAAAAAGTTTTAGGTGGCAAAAAAAATCGGGAACACAAGTTTATTCGAGGTGAAGTGCAACCACTTGCCATAGCTATTATAGAGGCCAGAATGAGCCTCGGATTAAGCCAAAAAGTAGATAATAATATATTACTTTTCCTGTTTCTACCTATAATTCATTACAATCAAAAAGTGTAAGCAATTTTGTACAGAAGAAAAATTTGAAAATGTCTAAGTTAGTCCTTTTTTGTTGATCTCAGTTTAGTCGTCCTCCGTTACTCTTGAAAATAGTCCGGTGTCAACAAAGTTACCATTATTCGTCAAGTCCTAGATATTACTGATATTAAATGTTTATAATCATTTGTCTTTGTACACGATCACTCATGGGAATATCGCCCTTAAAGTTTGACTACAAAAATTTTATTCAGGTAGGTATCGTTCTAACATACAGATGGACAGGAATGCGTGTGTTGTGTTAAGAAACCATTACAACAAAAATTATAGAGCTAGAGAAACTAAAATAATCCTGACCTCACCTTTTTTCGAAGTTTTCCTCTTATGTGACATAACCTCTTAACTCCATCAAAACACATCGCTTCCAGTCTGCCGTTACCCAACATCTTTGTAACTTGTGCATATTCCTGTCCGTCCTCTTTGAATACCAGCTCACGTTTCTCAGTTTCGTTCTCGTTTTTACCTCTCCTACGATTTTTACCACCTTTACCTAAAAGTTTTGAAAATGGGTTAATAAACGTGATGTCATTGTACGTCATTAGTGACGATTTCGTTTACAATATTGGAACATCCCATTATATTACTTAGAATGTACGCCAAATTATGATAAATCAATAGAAAATATTAAATAAATTTTATTTTTATCTGACTTTCGTAAGTAAAATGTCAAAAAAATATATGCATGGGAGTTTGCAATATGCGATCAACATGTTTATGGCGTGGTATTAATTTCTAAAGAAAAATAACGCTATATTACCTTTGTTCTTCGGCATTTTATAGTATTATTCGCTACCACTGTAATTTAATCACTAGAGCCAATTTTGCCAGATTTTTCTAAAATTTAAGGAATATACGTCTGCCTGACGGACAACCGCACGCAAAGGATTGTGGGTAAGCGGTCGCGCGTGCGCGATCGCGTCCTCTTCCGGTGCTCCGGCTACTCGATTCTCGAAAAGAATTTTATTCGTGTCAAAGATGGATTCCTATCCTGACGTACAAGAACATGAATCCTGTGCGAAAAGAATTAAACTTGATATTTGCGAGTCTGATATCGGTGAATTGTGCGATGGAGGAGGCTTTTCTTGTTTTTCCACACCAGCAAGGGGCCCGATTGACATAACTGAAGGTAAAATTTATGAAATATGTTTGATTGTTTAGGCGATATTTTTCATCCAATATGGCGTCGAGAAACAAAGGCGATGTGCGGACATTTTGTAGGCGTGGTGCTCTAGGATCGAAGTTCCATTTTAACAAAAATTTTACATTTTATTAGCGCTTTCCTCGTTTTTATTTAACAGCATCCTTCCATTGTTATTGATTTATAAAAGCAGAAAAATACTACTGAATAAATTTTCGAAAATTTTGTAAATTTTGTGTTTTTATTTACCTTTTTCAAGGACACTAGTGACGACAAAGTAAATCTTGATATACTTTTTATTTGTACTATGGTTAGTCTGTTTCGCATCACAAGTTATTTGTTTTTATCACTTGCACAATTTTAAATGTCCGAAATTTTTCTTGACATGCGCAAGGGTCATTTGTTGCGTACTTCCAGATTTTTTCGTTTCTATTTGTAGATATAAAAAATTAACCAAGTGGAAATTTTTCTGATGGAAATATACTTGTACTAAAAGGTGAAGGTACTCAATTAACATTTATTAATGTTCTTTAACCGATTTTTTGCAGAATACTTACCTACATTGGATTAAAAATTTGTGCGGTTTTTCCTATTGATGACAAAATAAAATTTTTGTCAAATGGTATAAATTAATATTTTCTGATTTTTAACTGAACGACTAAAAAGTCATTGCCTGATATGTTTTTACTAATTTTGGATTAGTTTACAAACAACTGGTATTAACATTTCATGTTTTAAAATGTTTAATTTGAATATACTGTTTTTTACTGCATAAATTTAAAAATTACTCATGTGCCATCTATCATTTGTCACGTGAAATTCTATGTGCCATCTACATTTTATATTACTTAATCACTTTTTTAATTTTCAAATTGTGCTATGACGAGTTCATTGAAATTTATATTTGCTAAATTTCTATGGGCGGGTGTGATTACTTATTAATAAATGGAAGTAACTAAATAGGTATTTACTACTACAAAAATATTTTGACAATTTAATCGTTTATTATCTTTTTTATGAAGTATATGTATCGACTACTTAATCTGTTGTTTAACAGAAAAGAATAATCAGAAGTCCCTTGCCTTGTTTTTATGAAAGAATATGTAGGTAGGTATACAATTTTCGTTTAATAAATTGTTACTCAAAAGATTGTAAAAAGAACTTTTTTTTGTTCGTCAGTGTACCTACCTACGAAACTAGTGGTAATATTTCTTTTTGGAAAGTTTTCTCAGAATTCTTATTGCCGTTTAGGCAAATCATATACCAATAATTGAAGTATAAATAATATTGATAAAGATTTTACATTTCTTCTTTTTATTTAATTCAATACTAATATGTAAAAAATTAAAAAAGAATACATATTTTCTTACCACTTTCCTTGACACATCACATGGCTTCTGAGAAGTAAGAGTAACGTGAAGTATTTTATCTCGTTTTAAATATTTTTTATGATATTTGGAAGGTTTGATAATTATCAGTATTATGTAGATAAAACGTGATCATTTTTATTATTTAAATTAACCGTGTAGATATAATAGGTTTTAAGTATATTTATTTCTCAATTATTGTCTTCTAACTGAAAGAATGAGTGCAAACTGTTTTATTATTTGTGGAATAAAAAAGGTAATGAAAATAATAGGGATTATAGGAACCTTATGGCTTATTTTTGTTATATGCCCAAAATTGTAGGTAGAAATTGTATATTTTGAAGCTCTCATGTTAAAAACGAACTTCCATACTTGATTTCATTCGTTCTTTCAGGCACATCCGCAGACTGCGACTCAGGATACGAGGCGTCTACATTGGAATCCATCCCAACACCTTCACATCACACCTCACCCCATACGGACCCGGGAGACATTCACGAGAGTATGTCGAACCTCTCCGGGTCCTTCCTACAAACACCCACACACACAGACCAGTTGGACACGTCTCAAGACAGTCTAGAAGTTGACGACGACAACGCCTCCACGGTGAGCGAGTTGAGCGGTTTGTCGGACCTGTCGGGCCAAGATTGGAAACCCATGGCTGGAAGCATGATATGGGTGAGTGTTTTATTGTTCCTCGTAAGAAATGGGTCGATGTATATTAAACATCTTTATAAATGTCAAAAATGTGGAAAAAGTTTTCCCAAAAAGAAATTTTACGGGTTGATAGTGTTTCCGACACAACTCTAGTGACGACATAACGGGCCCATAACTGTATTTTTCTTACAGATCCAGCAGCAAATGCAGAAAGGCGTAAATCCTAGAATTTTACTATCGGATCTAGGCGTAGACTATGATCAGATCCCCGATTACGTTGATGACGTTACCATCTGGAAAATAATCATAAATATGCTGGCAGAACCTCCTCGAAGGAACAAACTGAGGCACGTTAACACCTTAGATGATGTGGTACGATTGTTAAAAGGTTTGTATGCGGAAGTAAGCATTCGATTGTGTTTGCATCAATTTGATTTTGTTTTTAGGTGCTCAGAATATTATAGTGCTAACAGGCGCTGGCGTGTCAGTCTCCTGTGGCATACCGGACTTCCGATCGCGTGACGGCATTTACTCCAGGCTGGCGATAGATTTTCCAAATCTTCCAGATCCCCAGGCCATGTTCGATATCAGTTACTTCAGCCAGGATCCCAGGCCGTTCTTCAAGTTTGCCAAGGACATCTATCCCGGAAAGTTTCAGCCCAGCCCTTGCCACAGGTCAGTCGGTGTACAACTCTAAAAACGCTTCTAATTTTAATTATCAGAAGTGGGATTTGTGATGTAGGTACATTAACGAATCTGTTTTCTTAAATCTTGTATTTTCTAGGTTTATAAAACTCTTGGAAAAGCACGGAAAACTACTGAGGAACTACACTCAAAACATCGACACCCTCGAGAAAGTCGCTAAAATAGAAAGGGTGATAGAGTGTCACGGCTCGTTTGCCACAGCCACCTGCACGAAATGTTCACATAAGGTAACGGCTGATCAGATTCGGGATACGGTCCTCACACAGAAAATCCCTTCCTGTGAAGTTTGTCATGAGGGAAAAGAACCTTCATTTTCAACAGATGAACCGAGCACAGGAGGTGAAGGCTTAGACTACAGGTATATACGGAACAATTTATCTCTTAAAACTTGAAGTTTACCATATATTTTCGTTTCAGGGAGCTGGTAGCGTCTGGCATAATGAAACCGGACATCGTCTTCTTCGGGGAGGGACTCCCCGACACATTCCACGAGGCGATGGCGGTGGATAAATCTCAGTGCGACTTGATGCTCGTCATCGGCAGCTCCCTGAAGGTCAGACCTGTCGCACTCATTCCCAGTTCCCTGCCTTCCCACGTTCCACAGATTCTCATCAACAGGGAGCCTCTTCCTCACTGTCATTTCGACGTAGAACTGCTGGGCGATTGCGATGTCATCATAAACCACCTTTGTCGACTGTAAGTACCTGAAACTTTCAGTTATAGTGGATATCTAGATAGTAATCATATATCAGAAGCGGGATTTTTGTAAATATTATCCCGCTTCTGATTGTTATTTTTAAATCAAAATGACCATTCCAATGATGGATTACAGGCTAGGCAACATGTGGGAGGAGGGCATCTATTCATCCCAGGTCCTCCGGCAAGCATCCACTTTGCTTCCGTTGCGGGAGCCCGTTGTCAATCCGGAAGGAAGTCGCTTGTCGAACACCGATAACAATGCGACCAAACAAACCGAGCCAAGCTGTATAGTAAACGATAAGATAAAAACCTACGAGGTGGAGGAGATCCGCTGCGGGTGTAATGTTAGTACAAAAACTAGTTCCTTAAGCATAGAGAGAAACGTAGAATCAAACAGTTGTACATGCTATGTAAATTTCAACAAGTCAATTATAGATAAGGAGAACGAGATAATGAATTTCGACTCGAAGGTGATAAAGGAGCGCCACATGTCGATAGACTCGGCTCGGGATTCGGGCATAGGCGATAATTCCAATTTCACGGATTTGGAGGCTAAGTACGACGATATGTCTGATGAGAACTTTGAGGAGAACCACAGGCAGGACGAGGGTCGTAGTTTCCATCTTGAATTGGTCCATAACCCACAGAGCGGTGCCTCGTCCTCGGAAAGTTACGTCAAAGAAAGCCAGACTTTCGAGAGCGGCTCCACCACGTCCGACTTGAGGGGCTACTGGCAGCCGAAAGTGAAGAAAAGCCTAGCTGACAGGCTGCCCCAGGATTCTTTCCACCTCGTCCCGCCCAGTCGATATATTTTCCCCGGCGCAGAGGTCTATTACGATCCGGACGAGAAGCTGCATTACGAAGGGGATTCTTCCAATTCCGACAGCTCGGACAGTGAGTCGGAGGCTGACAGCCCAAACAATTCTTTCTAGTTTTTTTATATTACGATTTTCTTAGTCGTAGGCATTTTCTTGTTGTTATTTTTATAAATATTTTATCGTCCCGGGCGTGACATGCTGCGGCCTTCGCGTGTCCCACGAAACGCACTTTTATTTTGGTAGAACGAATTTTCGTAAAAGCAATATTTTTTCCTGGAAGATCCCACTTCTGACAACTATAAAAGATGGCTATAAATTATTTCGTGAAAAATTATCGTTTTCAAGCAAAATTTGGGCCGTGGCACTTTGCGCCCCTCTATATAATATTTTTATTGTTATCGTGTGTGTGAAAGAGGAGTGCGTCGATTGAAGGGTGTGCGTATTCGATTCTGCGTGTGACAAATTAATAGTTCGCGTCTAAATTGCAGAAACGGAAAATCCATTGATCTCTACCGATGTGTTTGTACTTTTTTTTTGCAAATTCGTCATTCAGGTTTCGAATACCTTTTGCCTAGATGAAATTGGTGGATTTTGTAAAATGACTGATTATCGTATTTATTATTATGAATTCATTGGTTTGAGGAATGCAAGGTATCCAGTGACAGAGTACCTTATTTTTTTTAATGTATGTAAGCTGAAGGTTACTGTAACTTTTTTTTAGAGTTTCTTTATACCGTAGTACTATGGAGGAGGGGGCAGGCCTCCAAGAACGTCAGACTGGGCCACACTTAAAGACTAAATATTTTAAATTGCGAAAGAAAATTGAAATTTTTATTTGTCGGTCATTAATTATAATTGGAAAATTGAACGCATTGTATTTTTTTGTCAAATTGTTATAAAATGATGTCAAGAGTTATTCTTGTCTCGAAAAAGTCGGTAGAAAAAAAAATTCCAGAATTTATATCTATTCACGATGTGATGCGTTCAATATTTTGCTTCTGCGATAGAAAAGTTTCATTGCACTTGCACAGTAACGCCATCTACAAATATGAAGATGAATTAAAGTATTTAATATCCATTTATGGTTAGTAGCATTTTAAAATACGTCTTAATTAATGGAAAAATATAATGAAATGGAAGTGACAAGGGGTAACGCCACTTTGGAGGTCCGGAAAAAAGGTGATTTTCGGGAATTTTCATGGGAAAATCCATACCAGGATAGGTGATGGCAAGCAACGCCATCTTTTGTCAGAGGACTGTATCGCCGGAAGGGCACATACTAAAAGCTAGGAAATTAAAACATATTGTTCCCCCACCTAAAAATCGATTTTTTCAAAATTCTTGTGACTACCCTTTAAATTGAAACGAACATTTTTTTTCAAAGAAATGTCGAGTTTGACTGAATGAAGGGGACTGCCTCGAAAGTTGGAATATTACTTTGCTAAATAAATAACCCTAAGAAGAAAAACCTATTTTTCAATAAAGTAAATTTGACTTAGAATATCTTAAGGATTGCTCTGTACATCGTAAAAAAAACAATTGTTAAAAATGTCTTATGATGAATTTAGTGTATATAGATAAGTCAGAGCTTGTTCCACATATTTATTTTCTGCTGGACGTTTTAATTTTTCGTAATCGGACGAAAAAATTATTTATTTTTTTATTCCACCTTTTTTTTTGTTGATTGATTATTTTAAGCGTTTGAGGTATGTTATGCTTTTTAAAACGATGCTGCACCCTTCCGAAAACCCCAAATGTGTTTTGCTGATGGTTTATAAAGGCTGTGAACAACCAAAACCGATAATTTAGTGTTAATATCGTACTCATAAAAATGTTTCTTTTTATCAATAATTTAAATTTTTTAGATATTCGCAAAAAATAATTGGAAAACCAAAGTTTATACAAATATAAATTTCTTACGCTTTTAAAAAAACGCGTGCACTTTTACTGTTAAAAAAGCTTAATCTTGTATAAAGGGGTTTGTCAGGGTGGAGTATTGTTTCTGAAACCGCAGAGGCTTCGATTTATCCGAAATAATACACAGCAGTGATAAAAAGATGTATTATATTTTTATGTTATTTATTTTTAGTAACCGATGCATTTAAGTTCTTGCTCTGAAAAAAAAAAAAAATGTAAGAGTTACGTTGTTAAACGATCACGAAGTTTAATAACGTAATTCGTATTCTTTATGGTTGTGCACAAAACATATTTTTTATATTACCGACTCAAAGGACACGATCCGATTTAACCGAATTTGGGGAATAGTTTAAGTTGGGTGAAATCGGATTGTCGAGATGTACATGTCTTAATTCGTGTAAAATTTTCTTGGGCTTCATTTTCTTTTCTAATTTATGTGAGATGTAATCCAATGTCATATATATGTTTTCTCGGAGTGTAACATACAAAATTGTGTTTGATGTTGATCGAAATGTATTTTGTGTGTTATATTAAGTTAATTTTTTTACGTAAGCTAGCCGTTAAGGTCATTATTTTTGTACAAGTATTTATTTAGATGTTTGTCTTAATGTTTTTACGGACATTAATAAAGTTTTAGTTATTGATATTATTACTTACGCCGGTCGCCACTTCGTGACCACGTCAAAGTTATATTTTGTAATATTTTCTATTAATTTATACTTGTGTGTAAATACTTAATGGTACTAAAGCAATAAAATTTGTTTCTTCTAATTTCATTTTTGATTCGACTTCCTCAAATTACATTTTCGAGTCATACGAACAAAACATTTTTTTTACAAACGTCAACTAAATAAGAAATTAAAAACAGCTACAATAAAATTCCACATTAAATGAAATATTAACAGCTCCATATTTTTACCTTATAAAGTTATTAATAAGTCAGTCAGAAGAGAGCCGCAGGACATAGGCGCACGCATTATTTATTAAAAAGCAACAAATTAAACTGTCCACAATAACAAAGACAACAGTATACTGACGTGACGTGAACGTGAAAAGCATTCTGAGGCAGCGGCTCACGCATGTCTCGTTTGACCCGCTTGGCATGCCATTGGGTTGCGGCTCTCTCTGACAGCCTTTGTTATTAAGCTATTTGAAATTGTTTTTTATCTAACCAGTATTTGCCCTTTTTTTTACTAAATTTCTTTAAAAAATATTTTCTAAGTATAATTTGTAGCATTTTTACTTTATTGTAAATGCATTAACCTAATTCAAATAAAAAGAATCATTTTTTTTAAATTATGTAGTGTAGTAGCTACGCCACTGATTGATGTATTTCTGTACCAATTCAGTGCATTTAATCGGGTAAATTATTAGCTCAATCTTGAAATCGATGTTTTTCCGAATATTCTAAATCCACTATTTTCGTTGGGACACCCTATTTTTGTAAAATAAATAAAAAATATCTATCTTCGTAAATAAAAAGAGACACCACAGGCGGGTAAAAAGAGGGTTAGGTTTTTTGAAAAGTATTTATGTAAATTTTGTCAAAAGACATCGAATTTTGATCCCTGAAGATGATGTAAAACAACACCAAAACATTGGCAATAAATAAAAAATTGTTTTTTTAACTAAAAAAATGATAATAAAAAATAAAACTACCTACATATGGGGCGTTCCACGCCAAATCGGACGGTTCGAAAAATTTAAATTTTCGATTTCCTTAATTTTTTTTATATTTTTTAGTACCCCTCAAAAGAGCCTTTCTGGTAAATTTTCAGATTTTTTTGATTACTTGTTCAAAAGATATAAACCCACTAAACATTTTTCAGTTTCTGACATGTTTCAGAAACGTTTCCATTTTTCTTGAAACGTTTCATAAAAAAACCATGCAACGTTCTGGTAACGTTCTAGAAGCCCAAGATGTCCTCCCCAAAATACGTCTCCAATGAAACGTTTCAAAAAATTGGTTTCAGTAACATTCTTTTTATGTTCCATTTATGCCCTCGATATTTTTATTTTACGTTTCAGTATATTTTCAGAAATGTTTGAGTAACATAATAATTTCATTACCATATTGTTCTCATAATGCTCTCAACTTTAGATCATTTTCATTTCAAAAACGTTTTTGAAATAGTATAAATAATGTGTATTTTTTTAAATATCTCTAATGCTCCTTTGTGATATTTTTATTTGTATTGTGAATGACTTAATTCGAACTAAAAAAAGTTACATTGTATATTAAAAAAAATAAATATGCTCTTCTAGTTTGGGGATGCGGCAACTTTTACTAAGAATTTCTTTCTTTTTGAGAAGCCACTGAAAAAAGTTTCTAATATAGATTATGAATTTTGCCATTCATCGTACAAATAAAAATATCACAAAACAATATCAGAAGCATTAAAAAAAAACTACACATTTTATACAGTTCAAATACGCTTCTGAAATGGAAATTTTCTAATGTTGAGACCTTCATGAATATGGTAACAATGACGAACTGATAATTAGAAAAAGTTAGTTATGATTATGAATCTCAAAATGGTAGGTACATGAAAAACAAATAACATTACTGAAAAATAATATAAAGTTATAATTTCTTCTACGCATGGTCAATATTACATATATCATTTTAATAATAATAAATTATACAGCAGAAATAAGGATACAAAATGATATCTTGACAAAGTAAATATCTGTAGGTATACCTAACCTCTTTTATTTAAGCATGCCTATACACATAAACAAATATAAACATTTGTACAAAATATAAAATAAATGACGTCTATTTCACTTGATTCAACCATATTTCAAATAGTTCTCACTGACTAAGTAGTTGCTCTTCAAATTATATCGAAACGTATAGTTGTTGTTCCATTTTCTTAGTTCTTGTCCCTTGTCCTCTTGTCTGTAATCAGTGATGCCAGGTCTCATGCTTTTGCATGAGATCTCATGTTTTGCGAATAAATCTCATGTTATCATGTTTTATTTGCAAAATATCATGCTTTTTAGACTTCCATAAAGTAATACTTGAAAATTTATTACATATGTATACGGGTAACTGCAAACATAGTGAACAGAATAGGTACCTATCTATACATATAGTTACCATAATTCTCGAGTTTAGTAGTGCTGCTCTCTAGTAATAGATAAACAAAATACTATAGCGCAATAATATGCGATTCCCCCTGTGATCCGAGTATGCGAATAAGTAATTTTGTTATTTTATTAAACTTGTATTTAAAATACTATTGGATTATTTTTGTACACCTCATATTATAAAATGCAATGCAGCCCCTCTATATTGGATTTAAGAAAACTTAATATATTTTGAAAAAAATATATTACTTATTTACATGATACAATAAACTTATAAGATATGATACTAAGAGGTCTCATTTTCGTTCGACTCTGCGCATGACGTCATGTGGCTAGTAAACGCCCATATTGTTCAATTATTCACACGTATGAGCATGGAAAATACGGCTAATTAAAATTTCTAAACATGTTTTTGCCTTAAATCACAAATATTTAAATAATACATAATTACAGCATTTATTTAACAAGTGTAAATATAAAAACGAAGCTTTAAAACTATACACACAATTTGTCCCTAAAAACACGAACTACCGTAACTAGCATTTTAATAATTTTACAACAGAGCGGCGTAAAAACGAAAGAGACGTCCGTTTTCAAAACTATATTATTTCATTTATTATTAAATTAAACATACATTTTTTTAGTTTTAATGTATTTTGACATATTATGTAATATTTGCATAGATTATTACTTATGTTCAAAGTCAGATACGCCACTTCGTGATTCCAAAATTATTCCTTTGTGACAGAGATAAGAAGCAAATACACATTTTTTTTTAAAGTGATTTTTATTTATAAAAAGGCATTCGATTTCTTACATAAAGTATAAAACAAAAATTTAAACAATGTAGCCCTTAATTTTAGTAATGAGGTAAAAATATAAATACAAAACTAAATAAAAACAGTATTACTTATTTTAAACATTATTATTTGTTGTCATCGGGTAGGCTTTCGTAAAAATTAACAATTCAGTACCCAAGCGCAAAAGTTTTTGTGCAGATATTTAGGTGATTCTATTTAACAATTTTCTTTAATTTATTTATTTATTTAATTTATTTATTTATTTAACAATTTTCTTTAATTTCCTTTTTCTGCTCAATGAAGCACAAGCTCACACAACGAATTAAATTAGAAATACAGGCAGGAACAATAAAAAAACTTGGAAAAACGCACACAACACTATAAGAATATGGCCACGATCCGTTTGTTTACTTTTTGACTTACCACATGACGTCAGCAAGATAGCCAAGATGGCGCCGTGCATGCGCAATATCATATCTCTGTATGGTTGTATCATGGG